AACATTATGGGCCTCATGAGATGACAATTTCCTAAATTCACAGGTCTGGGGAGGTGAGGATGCATGCAATCACACAGGGTGTTTCAGGGGCCAGTGCTCCCACCTAATGTCTGTAAATGAGCACCTAATGATGTGTGTGCAGCTATTTGCTTATCCATATCAGTTCCACAGGTGCATGCGTTCACATGTACGGTACATGAAGACATGATACACTCACTGACCCAATAACTTTTGTTGGTTCAATGATGAATGAGCATAAAGATAGTGACAATTTACTCTTCAAACTTGTGCAAATGTCCCACAACAGAATCGGTGTTTCTTCTTCTTTTTTTAAGCAGACTACTTTATAAGACAGAGCAAGACAGAAGGATAGAGCAATGAGTGAGCACTTAAAAATTTCTGTTGGTGGATGTGACCAAACGTCAGTTGATATCTCTCAAACATATTTTAGTATGGACACAAAAATCTTGACAGAAAGTGAAAAGGACAAACAGAGAGAACAATACAAGTGAAAACTTTCATAGTACAGGATTTTATTGTTGGTGGATGTGACCATCAAAGCTCTGTCATGTCTCTTTTTCCACTTTGGGGTACAAAAACTTACAGAAACTAAAGATAATCTTAAAATGTCTAGTCAATGAATGTTTTAAATGTTTGATAATTCAGAAGCTGCTCTGAGGGTATTAAAAGTAAAGCTAGTTTAAGTTTATATATTTGCCAATTGTAAGCAATAAAACTTTGGCCACTCATGGTTATATTTTCACTTCTGTACATTTATATAGGAGATGACTAAAGAGATCACTTCTTGCTTCACCCATGTTCAGCTATCCACAGATGGTGCAGCAGAAGCCTGTTTTCCCCCTCAATCATTAACTCCCGTCCTCCCTCCATTCTTGCCTATTGACGTGATAATGGCTACAAATTGATGAAGCCATTGAGTGTGCTGGTGACACAAGGGTGAGTGGGGACACAAACTCTCCACCACCCAGTAACACTCATTAATCAGACCTCTTCCAGCCCTTGTCCCTCCCTCCAGACTGTCTGACCCACTGCCAGGGGTGGCCATGCAACACTCTGTGTGTCATTCTCTGTCTAAGGGAGTCTCTCCCTGCCTGCCTTTATTTCTACCTCATTTCTGTATTCTTGTTCCCAAAAAACTCAAATATGTTATGTTCTTAGGAAAATAAGACAGAAATGATGATAAAATTGCTAACCACTTAGAGAAATTGACTGATTGTTCATCTACTGTATTCACCTCAACTTGGATAAAAAAACTAAATGGTGAAAAGAGAAACTGGGAACAACACAAAAATAACCTCCAAAAGTAGACATTCACCTTATTAGTCCTGCATGGAACGGGCTCAAAATGAATTTCCTCCAAATGACAGATAGTCTGTTTCTGTTCTTGAAGGTTGGTGTCATTTAAATCACAGCATAGATTTATACCAAAGTAAATCAGCAGCCTGGTGGCCAATGTGTTGACATCTACGTCCTAAACTCCCTCACTCAATAATGAAATCAGCCTTAACGCTGTGACAGCTCAATGCAGTCAATATGGATAACTAACCACCAGCACACATAGGACGTGTTTGTAACATATCACAGCCTTGCAAAAACTTTCTTTAAACCTTTTTTGTGTACTATAATAGGCAATATGAGTTAATAAAATAAATGATATTTTTTCAATTTCAGAAAATTAATGAATGAACGGAGACATCCTTCTTAACTAAATTATATTAATTTAAAACAGTAAACTCAAATACGGTAATACCTCATTGTCCAATATTTTGTCGAAAGGTGGTTACTTGTGAAGTCTAATAATATGCAACATTAAATTAATGGCAGAAAGAAAGAAAGAAAGGTTGGGAGAAGGAGAAAGGTGGGAGGGAAGGTTGGATGTTGAATTTAAAGATTCATTAGTTTACACCGAACTTTTATCTTATTGACTCTAGACGGCAGTAAATTCAGCACTTGGAAAAACCAATGGTAATCAACCAGGGGAATATAAATGACAGCTTCCTGCATTTAATGTTATTTGGGTCTCCCCCACAGTGCAAACTGCAGTCAAGATTAACATACTGTAGTTCTAGTTGTGGCTTTACGCTGTTGACAGTGAGGAGGCAATGATGTGAGCTAGTGGCCTCATTTAAGAAGTGCAGTCCATTTCTTTTGGAGGAGAAGAAGGTCACATATGCACATTTAAAAGCCTCTTCTGGGTAACTAACTGAAGGGTAATTCATATAGTTAATATATGTATTGTTTATCCATGAACTCTTTCTGAAGATCTCACCTTAACATCAAATACACCTAAATAAAATTGACAGTTTTATTTGCTTCTTGAAAAATTGTCAAAGGACTTCTGGGCCGAGAATTTCCTCCTTCCAGGTCACCTCTAAATTCTGCACTTCTAAAAGGAAGTTATTGTTGGCTTCACAAGCTGAGTTTGACTGGCCCCTAGTGTCTGGCCTTCGGTATGTAACAACACAAGTACATCCCACAAACAAGCTGTGTACGAAACCAAGAGATAGTTATTGCTTTGAGCAAAAATAGGACCACTCACACTCCAGCCACCTTATGGTGACAATTTCTGGGAGCTCTGTTTACAGTGCTGAGGTTAGGTAACCTGTGTGCTTGAACTGAGGGGACAAAACTGTTGGCATCAAAAATAAAAGATTGCAATCAGCTGAATGGCCGTACTTGGAAGAGATCTGTGGTATAAAGTTGCAGGAAAACAGCAGATAATCAGAGACAGCACTTGTCACCATTTATCTTGACTGCTACCATCAGGTAAGCACTATCACAGCATCAGTACCACTTTTCAAAGACAGCTTTTATCCCCAGGCAATTACTTTTTAACGGGCAGAGCAAGTAGCCATGGTGTATTTTTCTATTCAATCATCACTGTTTTTTTAACTTATGCTGTGTTAGTTTCTTTTTTTGGTGTATTTTGTTTTAATACTGTATGTGTGTTTGCATGGTGTGTATCGTGTATACAGTATATTGTTCAGAGAAAAGCTAGAGGAAAGGTTTGTCCTTGTGTGAAAATGTTATGGGGTCATTTCAGTTCACATGACAATTAATACTTCTTCCTCCTTCTATCCTACCTTTTGAAACATAACTGCAGGCATGTTTAAATCACTAAAACTGTAATAGAGGAACTGAAAGTGAATTATGATACCAGAGCCAGCATCAATAAAATTCGGTTACTGTAGAGAGTGGTTAATTACAGTGACAGTTAGTGGTTTTGGTATCAAGATGTTACCTAGAGCCACACACCTTTGAAGGTTTGGTCTCCACCTTATTAGACAGGGATGATTTCACTGAGATTAAGATAGAAGGCCTCACACCTGTTATGTAGGATTGTAGTCAGCAGTAACAAAAGCAGTAAGTGACTTTTTGTAAAGTGAATTCCATACCTGCAGTACTTTCTTCATTGCCTTTATTGCCAGCAGCACTACAATCCACTGCAGCTGATGTGATTTGGACAGGATGTGAAATCCCCCAAAGAGAGTTCCCAAATCCATTTGTTTGCAGGCTCTCCATATGCCTGGTCACTAAAAGACATGAGTGGTTTTGCATGGCCACTGAGGCATATTTTTGTATCAGTTATCATAGCAAAGTGACATTGTGAAATTTCAAAACGATACTGTATATCAACTTACTATAATTTTGCTTTGCATGTAAAATACAGTGAACTAAAGGAAAGAGAAGATAATGTTGGCTTAACACCACAAATTTAAAGCAATTTGGTCAGTATTGCATGCGTTAGTAGACTACATAAATTTAGTGAAGCCAGTATCATGTCATTTCTCTTATGCAAGAAATGCTCCACAGGAATTGCAAATAGAAAAACTTGCAACACTTCTGTAGTTTATAAAGAATAAAGAAAAACTTCTAATTAGAATAAAAGCCACAAGTAATGTTTTCCTAGTGTAATGATAATTAATTTATCAATGTTTTATCCATCAGTAACAATCTTTCTGTTTTGTATCCTCCTCCAGCTTCCTCCGTCATTTTTATTGTAATGTCATCTAAAGTCCATGGGATGTCACCAAAGACTACCCAATACCTCAAAGCAGTCTGATCCTACCTCCCATTTGCCCCTGCTGTGTGAGATGGTACTGTAAATTATCATAGTGGTCCATAGTGGCAATCCCAGTATCCATCAAATCTAAGATGAAATGCAGCAGACCTGAAAACTGTTTGTTATAATTTGGTACAAGATATTAAAAAAGTAATTCAATTACGCCACTCCTTATTCTGCTTTGGGTTGGTACATCAGCAAAGAGCTTTTATCTCCCCAAGCCACTCTTGCTCTTTTGTGCTGATTTGATGCAGGTCCACACTGCTGTTTGAAATCTACAGGCTTTGCAGGAGATGGGATTGTGCATTGTACAATTCCTTTGCACTCCCACTGAGCTTTTAATATCCACTGGGATGCTGGGGCTCCTCCTTCCTTTCCCAGCCTGCAGAGTGGTGGGAACTGGGTACTGGGCAGCCCAAAATGGTATGCTATTTTTACCACACTGTGCTCAAACTGAGGGCTGCTCCCTGGAGACCTGTTGCCGGCAGCTCTCCCCAAGCCACGGAATTTAACCCTAGGACAGCTCTCCCCAGATGCGATGGAAAACATGTGGCCAGCTGCTTGACTACAAGGCCTAGCTGTCCAGCCTCAATGTTACTAACCCCCAAAATACTTTTCAGTCCTGGGCAGCCCTCTGTTACTGCTGATAAATAGCAACCAAGGCCTCACAGGAATGTAAGATTTAATAATCTGATGCATTGATGGCTGATGGACCATTTCCTGCACACTGAGGATTACACGAAAGACTCTGTAAAAAAACAGCCCAAGAAAATACCTTGAAACTTTGTTCAGCTTTCATTCAGTACTGTTTAAGGTTTAGAAGTGTCATTGATGGGCAGATGGGATCACCGCCAGAAAACGTAACATTGCTAGACTAAATGAATATGAACAAAATAACAAGAAAAGGGTCACAGAATCCAAGAACAACATTTATTTATTACTGACTTTTATTTAATTTAAAAAAAGATTACTTGTAAATGTTACACTGAATTCTATTGAAACATTTCCATGTTCTGTCTCTCAGCACAGGTTAACATTAGGCACACAAGAATGCAGACATCATTTTGAAGTTCTAGCCATTGTTCAAATACGAAACAGAGCGCGTGGGGGCATGGCATTCAGCTCAAACGTTCCCGTGAGAGGGACAGCAACAACTGATCCCTGTGTCGTGTGTGACATTAAAAAAATTAAAACATACAATAACTTACAAGCCGAGGTACCCCGGATTGCAAAACATGACTAGACCAACTTTGGCTGTGTTATTCCCTCAGTCACCAGAGAAACATCTGGTTTACTTAGAACTCAACAGTACAAAACCAATTACCAATACAATTACCAGAAATAAAATTATAGCCAACATACCTGAAAATACAGCACTCTGTTGCTTCTTTGAAATATCATATTTGGCCTGTGTGTTTATATGTGTACTAGAAGGTTGTAAAAGCTGGTTGATTTCTTCGGATACACTATGTTCATGTGCGCTTAATATTTGGTCTTTCCCCTTGAAAAATACACTTTGTCAGAGTGGTTCAAGCACTACAATAACTCAAGCTGCAGTGGCAACAGCTATTTAACAAACAGCACTTAAAATTAGGATACTAAAGAAACCCTTTGTCCATGCCAGGGCTACAGCCTATATAGCCTATGTACAGCTTATGGTACAGTAAGGGTGACTGCTATGGGTTCTCACTACTGTGTTGTTGGAAAGGGAATAATTGAGACAACGCATTTTATTTATTGCACACAAAAAAAAAAGACTAACTTTTCACCAGAATTTTTTTTTTTTAACAGAATCTGGTGTGAGTAGCTTTGCTTCTTCTGGAAGTGTCTGCACTGCCTTTATCAGTATCTTTAATCAAGTTCCTCATTAAGCCAGAGGGTCTTTGAATCATACATGAGTCCTACATCCTATGAGTTAAAATAAAGCTTCAAAAAGATCACAAATTCTACTGTGCTTGTAGAGGAAATGGAAGTTAATCACATGTGCAGTGCCGTCAAAACTTAAAAGAAATTGCCAGGTTGACAAGCTCCTCTATTCGAAAAAGTTTGGTAATGTATTGTCATTAATAGTAATAGAACCAGAGTCCATCACCTACATGGGTTTTCTATGTTTGTGCACTGACCTGTGACATGTCATGGGACCTGTTCATTGGCACATAGGAATTGTGGATACAATTATCTAGCAAATTACATTTACTTCAACTGCGCACTGAAAAAAAAAAATATATATATAAAAATCATACAACATTCAATCAAAATTCATTTTCAGATGATACTCCTTTGGTTACACCGAGGTGAAAACAAGTGCAGTATTTTAAGTTCTTCAGAGAAACTAAATCTGACAGGCCAAGCCCAAAAGTTAGTTCAACTCAAATTCTAAGCCATCTATTAAAAAATGGATGAGTCAATGCCAGTTAAGGCTGGCACTTGTCACAAAGTTTTCATAATGACATTTTCTCCAAAGACTTATCCAACATACAGAGAGAACAATCATTATCAACATCACCGCTGGTATACAGAAGTCTCTTGTGCGCCACCAAGATTTTCTTTCCATCCATCTTTAACCCTTTACCCCAGTTTTACATAACACCAGTGAAACATTAGACCAAATTTCTGTGGCATGCAACCCAGATAAGGGATGAGTTTGCCAAAAAAAGTGGCGCATGGTTACAGCTAAAGTGGTGCCATAGTAAATCTGATAAGAAGAGACTGAAGAAAAAAAACACAACAACAAGCCAAATAACTGTCATTTTCTAACTCAGGGTGGGCACTGGGATGGGGGGTGGGGGGGTTGGACCTTGAGACGAGAGGTTCGGGAGTGGGTGGTAGTTCGGTGTTTAATTGCCCGCCAATCTGAGCATTCAGGAACAGCGCTAAAGAGCTGGCGAGGGAGCTGCACTAGGGTGATGTTGGCACAGACACCTCCAGCAGGCGGTTGTTCTTGCGCTTGCAGGACACGCTGTTGCCGTTCTTCGGGGCTCCCTCGATGAATTTGACACACACTTTGTCCTGCTTGAACTGCACCAGAAACCTGTCGCACAGAAACAACTTACTTCTAATACACAGTATCTCACAAAAGTGAGGACACCCAAAATTTTTTATTTTTGTAAATATTTGATTATCTCTTTTCATGTGACAACACTGAGGAAATGACACTTTGCTACAATGTAAAGTAGTGAGTGTACAGCTTGTATAACAGTCTAAATTTGCTGTCCCCTCAAAATAACACATCACAGAGCCATTAATGTCTAAACCGCTGCCAACAAAAGTGAGTACACCCCTATGTGAAAATGTCCAAATTGGGCCCAATTAGCCATTTTCCCTCCCCGGTGTCATGTGACTCGTTAGTGTTACAAGGTCTCAGGTCTGAATGGGGAGCACTTGTGTTAAATCTGGTGTTATCGCTCTCACTCTCCCTCATACTGGTCACTGGAAGTTCAACACGGCACCTCATGGCAAAGAAATCTGAGGATCTGAAAAAAAGATTGTTTGCTCTACATAAAGATGGCCAAGGCTATAAAAAAAATTGACCCTGAAACTGAGCTGCAGCACGGTGGCCAAGACCAAACAGCGGTTCTACAGGACAGGTTCCACTCAGAACAGGCCTCACCATGGTCGACCAAAGAAATTGAGTGCACGTGTTTAGCGACAGAGGTTCTCTTTCAGAAATAGACGTACGAGTGCTGCCAGCATTGCTGCAGAGGTTGAAAGGGTGGAGGGTCAGTCCGTCAGTGCTCAGACCATACGCCGCACACACTGCATCAAATCTGTCTGCATGACTGTCGTCCCAGATGGAAGCCTATTCTAAAGATGATGCACAAGACAGCCCGCAAACAGCTTGCTGAAGACAAGCAGACTAGGGACATGGATTACTAGAATCATGTCCATGCATTTATCTTCAGTCGACTTGACTACTGTAACGGCTTCAGAACGCAGCTGCTAGAGTCCTCACTAAGACCAAAAAAGTGGATCACATCACTCCAGTTCTGAGGTCTTAACATTGGCTTCCTGTGTGTCAAAGAATAGATTTCAAAATCCTGCTGTAAGTTTATAAAGCACTAAATGGTTTAGGGCCAAAATACATTTCTGATCTTCTGCTTCGTTATGAACCATCCAGACCTCTGAGGTCGTCTGGGACAGGTCTGCTTTCTGTCCCCAAAGTCAAAACTAAACAAGGAGAAGCAGTGTTCAGTTATTATGCTTCATATATCTAGAATAAACTTCCAAATAACAGCAGGTCTGCTGAAGTTCTTTTAAATTAAGACTGAAGTCTCTAACATCCACCAGCTCTGTGATTTTGTCATATCAGGGTGGAAGAGGACTCCAGTGGCAACCTGTGAAGCTCTGGCGAACTCCGTGCCCAAGAGGGTTAAAGCAGTGCTGGAAAATAATGGTGGCCACACAAAATCTTCACTCTGGGCCCAATTTGGACATTTTCACTTAGGGCTGTACTCACTTTTGTTGCCAGAGGTTTAGACATTAATGGCTGTGTGATGTATTATTTTGAGGGGACAGCAAATTTATACTATTATACAAGTTGTACACTCACTGCTTTACATTGTAGCAAAGTGTCATTTCCTCAGTGTTGTCACATGAAGATATAAATCAAATATTTACAAAAATGTGAGGGGTGGGCTCACTTTTGTGAGATACTGTATGTCTATCATTTGCTTAGTGTCTGGGCCCCTACATACATTTCTTGTGATTGTACTTGTATTTTAAGATGTTTGTGAATAGAATAAACTGAAGCTGAAACATTAGCCACGTCACTAAAAACCATCCAGGTGGGAGACAAATCCCAACCTAAATAACCCCATTTAACTCTGCATGCTCTCTTACTCGTCTGAGATGTCGATGTTGAGCTGCTCCCTGTCTGCAGCCGTGGCCCCGATGCGGTGGATTTTGGTGATGATCTCAATCAGATGTTCACTGCTGAGTAAGAAGTCTCCTTTAATGGCTGAGGCCGAACCCTAAAGAAAAATATCAATGAATTTTGTATTCAGTGTCCTGTAATCATGCACTCATTTCCTTTTTCAAAAAGCGTTGGTCGGAACATGTTTATTAGTTCATTTTTTATTTTACGCATTCTTTCTATTACTTTTGTCTCATATCTTTTGTTCTATGTATTGCCACTGCTCAAATGTCATGTACAACCTTCTGGCTTTTTCCATTTAATGTTTCTATGTGTTTGCATGGGTGGGTAAAAGGTGTCCACGTCAGCCAGGTGTCTGAAGTTAACGTAGAAAAACTTAACTCTTGTAAAGTTATTATTATGATCATGTTTCTCAGTGATATTCAACAAAAAACAAAACCTTTGAAAGAAAGTTTTGTATCAGTAATTCCTGTAGCCAGAGATCTCCCACCAGCACAATTTCATTAAGGAGAAATGGGTCAATCTACTTCATTTAGTAAATTAGGCAGGTTCACTTGTGTGTACAAAAATGCTGCTTAGTGTAACTTTTAATGTCCATGGATATTTAAATAAAGCACCACAAGGGCACAACTGACCACCGTTCAACGGTCTCAGTGGCCTTAAAGAAATAGTTAGACATTTTAAGAAATCCTTGTATTCGCAACGCTATCTGGCTGAGTTAGATGAGAAGGTCGACTCATACCCGCACTGAAACAACACATCACAACAGCTCAGGTCTCCCTCACCTCTTTGAGTCTGAGAGCAAAGAAGCCGTCACTCTGTGTGCTGACCGACACACTGGTGAGGTCTGGCAGAGGAACACTGGCCTTCACCTGGCCAGTCTTCTGGTCGGCCAGGACGAAGCTCTTCTTAGTCAGCAGGAAGATTCGAGCTGTACCCTGCAAACCAGAGCATAAAGTGTTCACCCTTCTAATGTTGTGCTTAGGGTGACCAGATGAGAATGGCTGAAATTCGGGACGGGTGGGGAGGGGGCGTGGCTACCGGTACATTCAGCGTCAATGAACATTAACACACGTGAAAATCAAAACACAACGTTAAAATTAATTATTTTGTTCATGAAGTCACCCGTTTGTCATTAGGAAAAAACACAACAACTGTGGATATGTAACAGTAATTCGGGACTGTTCTGAATTTTAGTTACGCTACATGTCAACACTGTGGCAAAAGCAAACGCGCAGACCGAAATGGGTTTTTAAGTGCACTTCTCCCTCTTTTTTTATATAAATAAAAGAGACAGGGTTAAGAGTTAAACACAATACACCTGTCGACATGTCTGCTATCTGCTGGAATCAAAATAATACTAGTTGTTTAGATGTCAAAAAACATCAGACTGCTGCACAGCAGGGTGAAATACCCATCAAATCAACGTAATAGTTTTCTGCTCCAGTCTAAACAGCAGGTCACAGTGTAATTACGGCTCATTTTGGACTTACACAAGCTAAATGGATTCTAAATGTTGTAGAGCCAGTGATGTTTCTTACCTTGCCATTGGCCCTGTTAATCTTGTTGACCACATCAGCCAGCAGAACCTTCTCATCCACAGCGCTGTTGAGTTTCTGATATTTGGGGTTCTTGCTGATCTCCAGGTAGTCACCTTTGAAGGGCTGGCTCACGCTGAGACAAAAACACAGAGCCAGAGACAAAGGCATTCACAATACATGCCACATATGAGGTCTGACGCTTTGTGTTTACCATGAAATTAAGAGATTCACTAATCGACTCATTTATCAAAACAGTGGATCACTAGGTATTACTTTCATGTACTGTGAAATAAAGACACTCTGCTACAGTAAGTTTCAGGTACCTGCTCGGGTAGAGAGCCTTTTTATCCTTGAAGATCTCACTTGCCTCCAGCTTCTCCTCATAAACCGCTTTCTTCTCTTCTGTGAACTGGCTCCTGTATTTCTTGCACTGAACAGCAGAATAAATTCACCAAATAAGGGTTGTTGTTGAGAAATAGGAAATATTTTGTATGGCCTCTCCAATATTTTCCATTTTCAGGTTTCAAGTGTGTTATATCGATCTTGTGTTGTATTGCTCATTTCATTCTTTGTATATATTTGATCAATAATGGACAGGATCATTGCCTCAAGTGTTTTTCATTTGACCTTTTGTTAATTCGTTGTTACAGCCTGTGGCTCGGATATAAAGATTTTGTATGATACAGTTAAAAGCTTGATGTTGATACTTAAAGTCGATGACCATAAATCGTGAAATGACAAGAATTAAATAGTTGAACGGGATAAACAGGGGAAGAGTTATTTGTGACCAACCCTCCAGAGATGGAAGATTCTTCGCAGCGCTGTGTGAACTCCATCCAGAAAGATGTAAGGCCTGGCAGGCCAGTTCTTTTCTATGGGTGACATGGAGGGCATGGTGCTCTTCAGGCCCAGGAAGTATTTTTGCATCTGGATAAATGGACATAAAATGATAACTGTATGGAAAGGGAATGCAGTTTAATAAGATCCTAGCAAATCTTTGATGAAAAACAACAATAAATACCCTTTATTCTTGCTCATACCGACTTCTAGGTTTTTTTATGCAATTTATTCCAGTAAACACTGAGGCAAATATTCAACTCATACTTACAATTCTCTGTATGGTGAACTCATAGATCTTCTTTCCGGCATTTGCCCTGAAGAATTTTCTGTACTCTCTACGGACCTTTTACAGAAAAAGAAAAAAGTAAAAAACAAAAAACAAACAAACTGTCAATCACCTGTTGCCGCTCATTACTGTATCGTGAAGCATGAAAGAAAAGGAATACACTGATAGGAAGATGACAGACATAAACAGCATACTAGAATAACAGAAGTTTGGTTAGTCACAAACAATGAACACTTGGAGCTGACAGTCAACTGCAAGCTGCTGGAATTAATTAAAATTACATTGATAACTGAAAATCCAGTGATTGTTATGGTTACAGTTGACCTTCATGCTGACCTTAATTACACCAATTGAGTTGTGAACAGGTGCGTTGTGAGGTGCAGGGTGGGTCAATTAACATGATGAAAAGATTAGCAATGCAACAAATGACCAGTGTGAGGACAGTTGTTCTTCTAAAACCCAGACAGCAACGCTACAGATAATCCCCAACAACTAGGACACACACACACACACACACACACACACACACTTTACACATCTAGAGAAATTACAAGCGAAACAAACACAGTTGGATGCACAAAACAGTGCTGCTTTATATGGGTAGATGTAGAGAAAGTGGACAGAGGAAGATGTTTAGAAAAGAGCAGATGAGAAAGAGAGTAAGACAGAGAGACTGCCAAGCCAGGCAGGCTCTGGTGGTTTAAATGTTCAGCCTTAAAAACGTTAAAAAAAGGAAAATAGTAGCTGTCCCTAAATAATGATCTGAAATGTATCTAAAGTTATAGGATTACAGGAGGGAGTGTATTAATGATTTGCTAACTTTTTCCTAACAAAAGACATTGCTTCCAAAAGTATTTTTTCAATGCTTTGAACTACCCCTTTAAGATGAGATCACACTTATTGTGTTAAATACATCTCTCCGGGCCACACACAGGTGACGCAGAGGTAAATGTTTAAGATCAGCAAATCCTGCAAGTCTCACAAGAACAGCGCTGCAAAGGGAATTGGGATTTGCATATTGGAGGTAAACGTTTAGCACAACTAGATGCTGTGGTGTATGTTTATTTGTTCTCGGTTGACTGTGCAACAAAGGTTCATGTAATATATCAGCCAATAACCATGTATAATCACTCATGTTCCAGTGTGTTTAACCTCTGGGTTGTCGAATGCTGCAAACAGTTTAAAACAAGGGTGTTACGGATAAAGTGTGATTGGAGCACTAGGTAGAGACGTTTCCTGTAGAAGTGTGCATATTATAGATGGTTGAGGAGGACGAAGAGGGTCAGGAGTGATGAGTAGGTGGCAGACTTGGTGATGGCTGTGCCGTGGGGGGCTGGTAGGTACCTTGAGTCCCTGCCAGTAGGCCCAAATCACAGCGACAGCATGCTTACGTCTGGCCTCTTCCTTCAGTCTCCTCAGCTCCCTGCGTGCCTGTTCAGGGGTTGGGCGGGAAGAGACAGAGAGCGGGAACAAATGAAGCAAGAGAAGATGAGAGGAAGAAGAGGGAGACTCTGTTTTGCCTCAGGTCAGAAAACATCAAATACACACACACACACAAACACAGACACACTGCACACCAGCCACGTGTGACCATTGAGGGACTGTTAAAAGTACAGCTCCACTTCTCCAGAAACAAACATGGCACTCTGGGTAATTTCAGCATTTATCAGGGGAACTTCTGTAAGGGAAACAGACTTAACACTTTTTAGTGGAGGAGGAGAGCAAAAGTCACAACTTAAGCAGCAGAGATCATCTCAATGAATCCAGACAGTTTCATCCGGTTCAAAGAGAAAACATGCATTAACTACACGAGGAGAAAAGATGTCATGCAGACGGCAGGCAGCATGCATTGGTGATGCACGGACCTTGGAGGAAGATGCTGAAAACACACCCAAAACATGACCCATTTGTCCCTGGTGTGTGTGTGTGTGTGTGTGTGTGTGTGTGTGTGTGTGAGAGACAGTATATTGCTTAAGTTGCTAACTAGCATTTAGACTGGCAGACAGAGCTGTAAAGACAGGCTTTGGTGAAAATGACCGTTTTGGTTGAAATGGTAAGACTCTTTTCACCTCAGCATCAGGTGGGCGAGTTTGTATCTGAGAGGGTGCGTGGTAAACTGTCTTACACGGCAAATAAAATGTTTAGAATGGGTTCAGCAGTTGATGGAGGCGGCAAGTCATGTAGTCACGGCAAGTCAAGTCAACAGGCTTCCCCAAATACCTTGGTGCCCTGCCAGCCGGCCCAAATGACCGATACGGCATGTTTATTCCTCGCCTCCTCCTTCAGCTGACGCAGCTCTCTCCGGGCCTGATGAAAAGCGTGGCATTTGCGGAGGAGGTTAATTTCAGTGACAATCAAAACTTAATTGTGCCAGGAGAGGAGTGAAAAAGCACGGTGAGGACGACACTGACGAAAGACAACAAAAGATGTCAAGAGATGGGACAGCGGGTGGTTAATATCAACGTGCGAGGATCTTTTAGTGGGTGCTCACGTTTTGTGACTGCATTTTACAATCCTTGAGAGAAAATAAATAATATATGACAACTGTGGGAGAGTCTGGATTAATGCGACATTATCTGGATCTTCATAAAGATGTTGACCAATAAGGAGCCTTTATGTTTGCTAAGATCAAAGGTCACATACAACACAGAATAAACTTTAACCGCGTCCATAATGAGTCAGAATTGATGGTTATCAGCAGTTTGTGAGACTTTGAATTGAAATACTGATTATTAACAAACAAGGATATCTCAAATGTTAACAATGTCAATACGGATAAGATATAGGCATGTTAGATATGCAGACTGCAAAGTCTGCACAGTGGCTTTGATTACACAGCCACTGAGGCTTTATAAAGTAGTAACATGTGTGTCATCATATTGACATAATTCCATGCTTATTTATAAGAGCTCCCTGGTGTTTTGCTGTCAGTATATCAGTATTTTAAAGAGAGGCTTCTCAGCATGAGCTAGAGTAGACAGCACAGTGGAAATCAGCACCGTATGGAGCTAATTAGATTATAGAAGAGTAGGTACACATCTAAAAACACAAACAGACTGGATGCAAACCAAACCAAAGATACACAAAGGATCAGAGTATGGCTACTTTTCAGAGCTAAGTCTTGTTTCATGTGTGTTGCAATCTAGTTTGGTTTGTAACACCATGACTAAAATAAGCAACAAAACAGAAAACAGGACGAACAACAGTAATGCACATTAACCCGGCCAGATACTGAAAGGACAGGGACTGAGGTTCCCGCACGGGGCAGCTACTCTATTAAGCAGTTTCATAGTGGGAATGGGATGGGACGGGACGTGGTGAACAGGGATGACAAGACAGCTGGGACAGAGACACACTACGGCTGGGTGAAAATACCTTGGTTCCCTGCCAGTATGCCCAAATTACTGTCACAGCATGTTTATTCCGCGCTTCTTGTTTTAGACGTCTCAGCTCCATCCGAGCCTGGTGGGTCGTGGTGGTGTTAGGTAAGACAGGGTTGAGAGATGTGAGAAGTATTAAGAAAGGAAAGTGAAAGGGGGATTGGGGGGAGGGCGGGGATGGGAGTGGCAGGTGTGTGATCAGCAAAAGAGGCAGGAACAAAGGGAAACCGCAGCAATAATATCAAGGGAAGCTTTGTTAAAGAACAGAATTTTTTGTAATTTGTTGGACCATTAGGCAGGAACACTGCTAAGACTTCAAGAGCAGTTTTTTTTCTCCAACATGAATAAAAAGCTTGTATCAAACCCAGACTGAAGCTCTGTTGAATTAAAAACACCTCACACTCTGATATCCCTCTGTACTTTAATGCGTCAGTACCTGGGTGCCGTGCCAGAAGGCTGCGATGGTGGTCACTGCCTCTTCACATCTCTTCTGATATTTCAGCTCTCTCAGGAGTTTACGGGCCTGGTGGAAATAGAACATGCAAACATTTCAGTGTTTTTCCACGACTTCCTGCCACATTCGATATTAAAGAGCATTAATTCACAGGAAGGTGCACACCTGCCATCCTCTGGTGTAGGACTGGACCACAGTGGTGGCGCTCTTGATCTTCTGGTATTTCTTTTGTTGCTGTGAGATGGAAAAGCAAAGGATAGGAAATTAACACCAGGTATACATACAATACATCAACGCCTTTTTGTATATTTTGCTTTGTGTGGGATTTTGAGGTCATTTCCTCAGAGAGCCTCACCGCATATCGGCGGTACCATGCTGCCACCACTATCTGACTCTTTTTCAGCAGCAGGAACTGGCTGCGGCACTTCCAGCCACGGTAGATCTTCTGAATGAGTGTGGCCAGGTCTTGCAGGCATTGCCTCCTCCTTTCCTCCAAGAAAAAGAGCTGTGGGGAAGAGGGGAGGATTAACTACATAAGACAACAAGAAAACACGCTTATGTCCGTTGTTACAGTTGGCAGGTATCAAGATCACACTTTCTTTTGGCTAGTACTGTGTCTTTTTAACCTCTGCAAAAGACCACACGGAAATCAAAGTTATAAAAAGGGGAAAAAATGTTTCCCGCTATTAGATCAACAGAATTTTTTTTTTATATGAGCAAATACTGATTTAGAGATATCAAGTACAAAGTCCAATCTATCTGCAGCAGAGAAAAATAACCCTTTCCTGCTTGGGCTTATAGCAAGACAATAAAAAAAGTGACATGTGACTAATCTTCCGCAGGGATGTGAGTACAACATTTGATTGTCCTGCTGTAAAGTGATGCAATTTATTCATCTGCAGGCAGAGCAAATGGGGCTTTTTAAATTTCACAACAATGCATATATATATTTTTACGTAACCTCATCTCACTGTTAAGATATTATGTTAAGGTTAGCTAAGGTAACAACACTGTTACAGCTCAAAGAACACAAATTGCATAATAAAATTAAAAACGTACGCAAGAGCTTAACTATTAACTCCAAGTTACTCAGCATTGCGTCTAGTGAAGCAAGTTCCATGTTGACTGACAAGAATTTCCCAAAACCTTGAAACAATTAAACTTGAGGCGGGGCTGCATTGGATTAAAAGCCAAAAGAAACATAGTCTGGAAACACAGATTAAGATCCACCAAACTAGACTATGTAGTGGTTTCGCAGCTGTAGATATATAAGAGAAATAAGTTTATCAGACAGAAGCATCAATTAAAGGAGAAAAGAATTTCTCCCAGTATGAGATCATGTAATTCCAAGCTTTGTTTGCTGGGTGGGGAGAAAGTCCATTAAAACGCTTCAGGCTTGAGCAGTTGAGGAGCCTACAAACGGCTAGCAAAGAAGCTCATTTCCCATGTTAGACGGGGTGGCTGAGTGAAACCATGTGTTTTCAGAGTGGTGGTTGCATGCTAATTGCTGAAGTGGGGGCTCCAAATGCAGCCCACCCTGCTTCACAAACATCTTACTGTGAGAAAACAGGGCAGCTGAGTACATTGGATTCAACCTTTAGACTTTCAAATACAGCTCTGATCAGAGTACACAGCAGATGTCAAAACTGGCTAGAAAACAGATTTAAAGGTATGCAGGGCTGCTTTATCCGTGTTTTCTACCGTTCTTGGGTTCCTGATAAAGATCTTGGAGCGTCCATAGGAGAACTCGTCTGCTGGGACCTGGAGGTCGGCCATCAGCACCTCCACTCCTTCCCTATGGGAAGCCAGAAGGGTCAGATGGGTCATCCAAAGCATACTTGACCCTTCAAGTAGTCATCAACAACATAAGAGCAACTGTACAGAAGTAGTGAGAAGATTTCCAACACAAGATCAACAGTATAGAAGTAGTGAAAAGATTTTGGACACACGGCAAAACAAAAAAGAACAGCAGTGAGGACGCCGAGTTTGAGAAAGGGAGAAAAGAATGATTAAAAAGGAGAATGAAACAAATCTGGAGAAACATGTGGAGGGAGGAAATTAGGAAACCACACAAAGCACTGAGGAATGGCTGAAAAACAAGATACAGATTTGTGATACAGCAGATAGGAATCAGTGCTTTTTCACTAGCACAGAGGATGAAACATGCAAGTCTGGCTCACATGGAATGGAAGACAGATAAGGATGAAATGTCTCAACATGTTGTGGTTCAGAGAGGTAATACTTAATTTCTGCTGAACAGAGAAAAACTGTTCTGTGTCAAGACTGCTGGTAGTACATTAAGAAGAGTGTGCAAATACCTGAAACTGTGTAATGTTTGTTAAAATTATGTTGGATAACAGTCAAAAGGCAAAGATAATAAAATAGCCTTTCCTTAAAAGTGCCCTGTTTACATTTATCTTAGACTATGCTCGGTATCTTTAAAGATATGTCAGTATGTTAGGCGAACCCTTCAGCAAATATTTCCCCCCCTTTATAACCCTTGTTTATCGAGGGAAGGTCATCTGAGCCCTTTCCCAGCAAAAACCTGCTTCACATTCACACAGCTCCACGCAATCACACCTGGGAGCTGACCGCTCCGACTGCAGTCTATTAGTGCTGGTCACAGTCACTCCACTGGGAGTAGTCTGAGGGTTGGTGCCTCAGTTAAAGACACCGATGAGTGTTTCTTAGTTTACACACTGACATTTTCTCACAAAAAACTTGGGAGGAATTTGCTTTGGCAACCTTCCAGTGACAAAGCCCTTTCTCTACTCCCCCTCACCTGCTCCACAGTTAGTCACTGCATCAGAATAAACACAACCATTACCTGGCGGGCCCTCTCCAGTGGGGCCAGGTCCGTTTGCAGAGCATTTTGTAGCGTTCCAGGCACGGCTCGTAGGCCTGGCGGAAGGCGTAGCCTGCTCTCCTCACACGGACGTTCTCCATCAGGCCCAGGTAGCGCGCCTGATGGCGGACCAGAGACTCGGTGAATATGTGGGATGCCTTCTTGTCATTGGGCTTGATGCACCTGGGAAGCAAGAAGCGAGATTCTTCTCACCAAGTTTAGACTTATATGGAGCTGATTTAACCCTTTTATTAAAAGTCATATTTGGACCAGCTATTGTTGTCTAACTTTAATGAATGAATGATGAAAAAGACTGTTTTATCATTGATAATATTAGGTTTTATGCTCAACCCAAGTACACAAAACTACAATCAATCGAGAATAAAAGGAAATCTGGATGTAAGAAATTTAAGGTTCGATAGTCCATTTTTCATTTTATTTGGCATTACATTAAAAAAAGTCAGGCTGCAAATCTCACTGGGAGGGTAACAACAGTTATACTGTCTGTCTAATTTACATTTTATTCATTTAGCTGGATAACAGGACTTTACCGGATGTAGTTTGGGTTCTTGGTCTGCAGGTTCCTCATCAGCGTTCCCACTGATGCTTTGAACTGGAATCCAGCAGTTGGGGGTCTCTTCAGGTTGACTTTGCCTGGGTTGCCCTCAGGGAACAGCTGTTTGATGAGGCTGTGGGTGGCCTTGTACATGGCCTGTGACAGGTCCCGGTATAACAGGTCGTTGTTCTTGTCTACAAAGCCCTCGACACGGTACAGCACCTTGATATGAAAAGAAAAAGAATGTTAATGACTTAAACGTATTTTCTTTTCATCGGAACACCAACTTTGTGATATACTGCCCTACTGAGTGCACATCAAGAATGGAATAGTCGCATCAAATGCATAAATTCATATTACTATCTATATCTCAGTGTTTTCTGCATTCCATTTATGAATTGTATTGTTTCACAAACATCTTGCTTTCATTCCTTATTACTCTGTACGCAGACTAATGTCCAGTACCTTCCCAGCATAGTGCTGGATGCGGAAGCAATTGTGTGGCAGGCTGTGGTCAGTGAGGAACTTGGAATTCTTGCTGAGGCGACTCTCAAAGTGCTGGTGTTCAGCACAGATGGTGTTCAGTTTGTCCAGGAAAGTCTCGTCGGTGACTGTCCCTGGCCTCAGGCACTCCTCGTCCAACATGGCCAAAATGCCATTTTGATGCTGGGTATAGCAAGGTCGGTAGACATAAGAAATTGTATAATTTACCAATCATGAAGTGTTACTGAAATTTATATTCCATATTATTCATTGTTAAAACCCCCTAGCCTGTCTGCGGTGAGCAGAACAGCTGGGGATTGTGGATTCATGCTGAATTTGTTCATGTGATCTTTGAGAACAGGGAGACTGACTTACATTCTCAATGAGGTCGCAGATAATAGCATTGTTGAAATATTCAATGTTGGTCCACTCGATGCCCTGTATCAAAAGAAATGAAGGTCAAAGGGACAATAGCTTTTCTACATTTCGCCAGAGTTATCAAGACATCTTTTCTAAATCAGCTACATGCTCACCGAATTGAGTGGTTGATGAAATAACAGTCCTGTGTTTTAACACATCACTGAGGCCCTGGTTAAGATTTTGAAGGTCACTTAATCAGTGCTGCTCTCACAATGGCCCTCATCAAGTACTGTATACTTCACAGTAGAGAGCTAGAGAGGATTCTGCATAGTTTATCAGACAGAAAGGGCAATACTGGATGCAGTGCAGCAAAGCCCAAGATGTCTGTGTTCCAATTTTATTCAACCTCAGCCGTTTGATGTGAAGTAGCCACAACTGATGGCAGTCGGTTGTTCAACAGAACGCTAATAAGGGTTGGATGAGTGGAGAGCATGGCAGCGTATACATCATGCATGTGTCTCTAACTCAAAGAAAGTCTTACACTGAGGTTATACTCAGTCTAGACACATTAATATCACTAGCACTTATTAGCTGATGTTGATGTTAGGTTCACCAGGCATTCTCTCCTGCTGTGCCTAATGCTTAGTCTTTGCATTATTTGAGTAAGGGCAGGAAAACATTCTCCATCATACCCTCTAACCCCCCCCCGTCGCTTAAGGAACCCACTTTGCCGATATCTAATCCACAGCTGCTAATGGGTTGGGAACATAGCTTCGGTTGATGTAAGCAATGTGACAGATATTTTGAGGGGGAGGGCGCAGAGAAGGTGTGGCTTAAACTGATGGAACTCCTGATTGGCGGGCCTCCCTCCTTTCTCCAGCGCTGTGGTATTTTCCCATGCAGTAGGCTGGATATCGGCCAGGAGTGGGATATCGTTGATGGTGGTGTTGGTAAGGGACGGGGTGTGGGGGTCACCACGGCAGCACTCACATACATACAGAGCTTTGAAAACAAACAGAGCTTAAAGGCCCACAACGGGGAGTGTTTACTCTCGCTGGAGTGAGGGATCACTTCCGTCCCCGAGACTCCACAGAGGGGAGACGGGGAGAGAATAAACTCTGAGCGTGATGGACGGCAGAGAAGGGATAGAAGATATAAATGAAGTAGAAATGGGTTTGGGTCAAGGGCAATACTGCACATTAAGCTGAAAAATAAGGTTTAAGAGATGAGTGACACGACCAGGTTGGGATCGTGCTGCAGGGGCCTGCAATGATGAACTGTCAACACAACAAATTGAGCGCTGACATGTTGAATGATTTAGAGCCGCAGCTGCAGGTGACAGAGTGTTTCCAGGCCCACAGGCTGGGCATTATGGGTAATTTATCCCAGTATCCACTACCAGTCTTCTCCAGTTTACTTGGATTGTATGAGAGCTTACCTCTCTGACATACTCCTCCTGCTCCTCACGCAGGGTCAGCTCGATGAAGATCTGCTGCAGCTTCTCGTTGCAGTAGTTGATGATGAACTGCTCAAAGCTGTTGTCCTGTGGGAGCAGCAACAGGAGCAATAACAATTAGTTCCAGCTACTGTCAACATGTAAACTAATTATCTCTCTCTGTTACTGCCAGTGAAATTGCTTTTATTGGGCCTGCAATGGGGGAAGGTGGACCTTTTCCATATCTTAGAACAAAATTTCTGTGCTAGGTTCCTCACAAATCCCTACGATTAGGAAATGCATCATCGATGCACTGACAATTCCTGCTTCATTTTCTTATTTATCAAAGCTCATTTCAGCTCTTCTCTGCAAACATTCATAAGCATGGTCACCAATTTGCCAACGTTTGCCATTTCTATCAATTTCCTGCAGTGTTCTATTAAAGAGGACGTTCACACCAGCGTGTACAGATGAGGACACCTCACAGTTTTGCTAGTCCAAAGTTTCCTGGAATATAGATTTAGTATCAGATTTGGAGCAGGAACACTTGAGAACACTCTGAGAACTACGCCCACAGTCAACAATGTGCAAGTGTCTAAAGTTACATTAAGTTAAAAGAAAAAGTCTCTTAAATAAAACCCTGACCTCATCTGCAGACATATTTTTCGGACCTGTAGCTCTTTCCTTCTGCTCAACAATTCACTACCTCATCACTTAGATAACCATCAATGAACAAATATTTAAATCAATCTAAAGAGTGAATGACTTATACCAGTAAATCTTGCTGATGTATCTTATGATGTTGAACCCTTATCAGAACAAGTTCCAATAAATTGTCATAGATTTCATTAAACATTGACGGGTTAACAATTTAAATGCCTCAACCATTTTTACTCCCCGCATTGCTCAATTATTATTGGTGTCAATTACGACCATTGAGTGGTGAGTCATGCTTCTTGGCAGAAGGCCTTATTGTGCGCTGGGTTAGGTTAACACTCATTTGCTAAGGACACAACAATGGTTAGAGCAGCATGTTTAGTCTAAGAGCTCAGAGTGAAGGACGCAGCAAGGTTTCTCAGTAACCAGGAAACAGAACGCAAAGTCACAAGGAGATCTGTCATTGTTGTTCAGACGCCATTTCCTTTTACTGAGAAACCAAAAGGCCATCTTCACCCCTACACACACACACACACACCCCCCCCCCCCAAGTGGCAGCTGACACCAGACTGAAATATGACAGAATTGTACTGCAACCCTAATATATGTTTTATGACAAGCGTTTCATAGCAGCTTGAGAAAGTAACCGTCTTATAAACTATGTTTGAAGTTAATAGTCACATTTCTCAGGTGTTGATTCAAGCAACACACTTTGGTACACCTACCTAAAACTAACTAAGTATAATACAACAGCCTTGCAATAAGTCAGTACTTCTAAAACATTATTTATGCTGCATTCCAGGCAACTCAGAACTAGAAACATGGAACGTCACTTGAAGTCGGAGTTTCTACTTGGGGAAAAATAAAAATAGACTACGATTTCAGGAGAAGCAGCTGAACCACGTCACACAACAAAGTATATTTGCCTGTATTTAACTAAAATAATACATATAAATCATATAGTAAACCTGTTTCGCATGTAAATTGATGTAGAAATATTTTGCCAATTTTATAAAAAGGTAGCTGGTTACAGCAAACAATCTCTGAAAGTCATCTTCTCTGCACAAACGTTATGCAGGAACACGTTTAAAAAAGTGAACACATTAGGAAATATAGCCTACCACCTTTACTGAGTTTTGAGGATTACCAACTAATGTAGCTAGACGGATTCACAGTTAACGAGTAATGTATATTTATGTCACTTGTTTTGATTAAAACAGCCAACCTTTTAATTAACACCAAGGGCACTGCTGAGGGTTCAACTGTTTGTACACTTAACAAAGAAACATCAGTTTGTCACAGTCAGAGATGTTTTTATTTCACTTTCGGCGTCATGCACCAGGAATGCCTTGAGGTCAGAAGTACCGAACAGCCTGGAACACAACATTAGTCAACCTGTGTTGATATAAATGGGTATTAAAATATTAGAAACACCACTTAGTATAACTCAACAGCGCCACAAACATAAGCCTCCAAAGTGACTAAACTTGCTTCAATACCTCTCTAAGCTGAACTTTATACAGCAGCCGTCATAAATGCAGTTTATTGCAGGGCTGTTATATTACACTGCATTATTTTCAGCTAGGTTGCCTAATAAACTGGCAACTGGGTGTTATGTCATGGTTCAAACGATGAAAAGGCTTCTTTAGCATTTTTTCAGTCGCGTGGCTATGCTGCACACCGGGAGCCCTGACTTCATGGGGAACTAAATTAAGTAGCAAGGAGTTTAGATCACAGCATGCACACTGGCACAGCAAACAGGCCGGTGCAGGTGTTACTTACTCCATCCTGGTGACCAAGACACAACACAACAGTCAGAGGAGAGGAAGGACTTGAGATTGAGTGAGGTGAACAAGCAGGGATATGAAAAAGACATGAACATGTGGGGGTGGGAGGGGACTGGAGGCATCAAGCAATCTCCATTTAGTATATACAGTGCTCTCAAACTCTGTCTCACATGTGTTTGCATGCACATACTTATCTACGTGCACATTGATGTCCAAATGGCTGGTCGCTATCTGTAATTAACCCTATGCTGCACTATGACGCTGAGACACTCTGTTCTCGGAGTAAATTCTTTGACAGGGTGGCCATAACTTGTATGTGATGCGTTGGGAATGTGTGTTTGCTGTGTACTGAGCAGTCCCTTAATAATGTAGTGGCCATTTTTCTACTGTGAAATCCTGATTTTAGTGTTGAAATCACCTTGCTACAAAAATAATTTCACCCCTGGGAGCAATAAAGCTGGGGTAATCTGATCTCAATATGGTTTTATCAGCCCGGCAGGTCTTGTTGATAAGCGCCTCACAGGTACCAAAACAGCCTGGGAGCAAAATCCTTTTATATGTAATAAACTGTTTAAGTGGTCAGATTCTGTCCTTGTGGCTTATCAGAATTAGGAGAACGGGTTTGATCTGCCATTTGTCTTACCTCAAATATCTCAAAGCCATAGATGTCCAGCACACCCATGACCTTGTGGCGACTTTTAGTCTGTGCCTATAGGGAGACAATATTGTCAGTATTAGAAAGATATTATTAGAGCAATGTACTACCAGTTTAACTTAGCAAGAATAAAATAAAAAAAAAGCAGAATAATTGTTTAAATGAACTGAAATAAAATCATATGTTGTGGACATTACTTTAATGCTTTCGTTGATCCTGGTAACAAGCCAACTAAACAGACGACTGTAGAGATTTTTGGCAAGGGCGTCTCGGGCATAGTAGGCCTGTAAATAAAAAGGCATTATTGGTGCATGAATTAATTTTCACAACATTGCTGGATACCCAAACTATGAGAGAAAAAAAATCTAAAAGCTTATACATGAGCTTGGGAAAAAATCTAAATAAAATAAAAAAAATAGTCCACAGCTTCCACAATATTTAATCATGAAAGCCGCAGCTCCGAGGACACGAACACAAGTTTCAAAAACATCATTCTGAGGTCAGGTTAACCCTCTGAACCATTTCCGTCTCCACTTTCAGACACAGAGAGCCTAGGTTTGCAGCATCCACGTTATATGAGCTGTTTGGGTGAACTGAAGAACCTCTAAAATATGACCTACATTTCAATTTCCAGGAGGAATCAGCTTATCTATAATGGAGAGGTTTTCCTGTAGCATTGACATGGATGAGAGGTGGCAGCCGAAGGGAGGGGGAAGAAATGGCCTGTGTTTACTGTGTGTGTGTGTGTGTGTTACTGTCAATACAAGTAGGACAGATATGCAGGGGTATAATTGGTGCAAGACAGATTTGTAACGCTCCCTCTGACCTGGGCCACATTCAGTGTAGTGGACACTTTTTCCAGCTTAGCCTCTACTGTGCGGTAGCTGAACGCTCTTTCCAGCACTGACTGCTCGATCCCCAGCAGCTCACACATCTCCTTCAAATCTGCAAAACACAACAAACAATAAACAAACCACTGCAGGGATCAAGGGAAAAGGACAGAATTCTGACCTATATTTTAAGTTGTATCTTAACATAAAGCTGGTAGATCAAGTACAGGAAAGTTTTAAGAGTTAAAGCGAAATACTAACCTTTTGTGTTGACATCTATGGACTAAATACATATGGCTGTGATGACATGGTAAGCACATTGGTAGAAATAGAAGACCGCTAAAAAGTAAACTTGTTTCAATATGATGGCGACAAGCGAGTGATTCATATGGGGGGGAAAAAGAGGCTTTTAGATGCATCATGCCACTGTCATGGAGGGAAATATGTAAATATCATGTTTACCTAAAGAGATCAGCTGCAGGACTGGTAACATAAATAGCTCTTGTAATGCAAATCATAAAATGCAAATATCTATTTGGTGAGGACAACTGCAGAAGGGATCCAAGCAGCCAATAGGGGGCAGTGGCTCAATATCAAGCTAGTTGGGCATATAGGTCAAAAGTTTTGAGTGTTAAAACTATAGACAATAAGTTTGCAGAATAAAATTACAACCAATAAATTAATACAAATATTCAGCTTGTCTGATATCTAATCATAACTATACACCCAGTCCACTCAGTTGTTTGCAACTACGTCATGCTGCCAAATCATTCAAATGAAGGTGGAGGCGAGTTATAAAAGGATCAGAGATATTATCACGAAGAGACACCCTCTGCTTCCTGTTTGTCATCTGTCAAACACACCGTTCTTGTCCTTAATGCGGCTCTCGTCAGTGCCGTTACAGCGCGACTCTGGCTTGAACTCAATGTTGCCCAGCTTTAGCACGGCCGCCACCAGCTCCAGCACCGACTGTACCTCGTCCTCCATGAAGCCCACGATCTGCATGGCATTCTGGGCAAAAAGTAAGAAGTCGAAGAGCGGACATTGTTGAATCTTATTAAGAAGCATGGTTGCAAAAGGGAAGAAAGCTATAAATGCATTGTAATGTGACCGTGTTTAATGACTGTGCAAACACACCACTTCAGTGAGACTGAGACATTATTATAGCAGCCTATCAGAACTAGTGTTGTCAGGATGATCATCAATTTGACATCACCAATCAAAGTATTTGTGCACACTGTTGTGGTTAAAAACGAAAAAAAGACTGCACCAGTCAATAAGCTGTGTCAGCCAGGTACCGTGTCTTTTTAATCTTTCATTCAAGAGAATAGCCTCTTCATTCAGACTGAGGTCTCTATTTTGAGGGACTCCAGACTCAGAGTACATTTGATTTACATAATTCAATGGTGCAAAGAAAAGCAGAGATAAGCAAAAACCCATAAAACATACAAGTTCAATTTACTCATAAAAAACACAAATTAGCCAACTGAATATTTAAAAATCGTGAACCGAATCCTAGTTCATCACATTAGCTCTAAATGTAAAACAACTTCCTTTAAAAAAGCTGAGGAAAAAGAGAATTAATGGAGTTAAGTGCTTGAGATTAGTGTTACAAACCCCCTACAACATCTGGTTTCTTGTTTTCTGAAGCGCTTTTGGTATTTGTTAAAATAAAAATTTGACCACAGTTAAGTTAAAGTTCATAACGATAACTAAACATTTAAGTTTAAGGGAAGAAGGCGTGGCCGTCTTGGGGTATATAACAGACAAGACCATGTGGAGGGACTATTGTTTAGTGGGAATGTCCTCTTGTGTTTCCGGTGGTGAAATGCAGCTGTATGGGAAATACTGGGAGAGGTGATGAGAAGCAGGATGTGAAATACAAGTAGAATGTGACAAAGCAGACTGCAAAGGCTTATACAGTAGCAGAGTAGCGCATGTTAGAGCAGGACTGACAATAGAGTGTAGTAGAAATAGTCTCTTATAGACACAACATCCTATGTTTCACCATTAGTAAGTATAAGACATAGTGGCACTGTACATACAGAGCATGTATGCGCACAGACTTATTTAAATAAAAGGAAGCAGCTGGTTTTCCCTAAATAAATGCTGCTGCCACTGTGCAGTTAAAAGCTGAACCATTACTGAAATTTGGCTAAATGATGCACATAGAATTCCCTGTGTTTAAAATCAATGCAAACCTAGTAGTTCTGGTTTTTTTAAATTTATTTTCAAGTTCAGGTTCAGTTCAAAGATCAGCTGGTGTCACAATAGGTGGGAGGAGGGAGTCTGGTGTGGAGTGCTTTCACAATCGAGAAGACTGACTTTTCTAATCTACAATCTGTTAGTTTTGTTATGTCGATCAGACCGCCTCTACCCTCTGTGCGGGATTTAAATTAACTTGGCATGATGTAACAAAGGATAGCCGGCGCTGAACGCCACTGGAGCGTGATGCTGCTTGAGATGAATGTTTGTTCTTATTTGTCTGTTTTTTGAGAGAGTCCATTTTGGTTTAGAAAACTGTCATAAGGATAATTTCTACCTTCCCAAGAAGTTAGTTTGGCTTATTCTTAAAATATCAGCTGGGATTGTGTCTAAACTGGGGTCAAGTGTAATATTATTCAGACAAATACGTGTATGTACTACTCACTCGGACTGTCCTGAAGTTGGCTGCATCATCCAGCCCATTGACCGCGGCAGAGTCCAGGCTCAGGTAGTTGTATTTGCTCAAGTCCCGGTTCAGCTTCAGCTTCTCTGTGAAACACAAACCATGTGGTTGCAATTTATATTACATTTGTTCAAAGCAGTTTGGCTAAAGGCAATTTTAGCCTTATTTACATTAAATGTAAATTACACAACACACACACACACACACACACACACTCTTGTAATGATAGTTATAAGCTGTATTCTTCAAGGACCATCTAGAAACAAAATCACTTGAAGGTTCAAATGGCTGACACCTCATGCCTTAATACAAATTTGTCAATTGTCACTCCATGTGTATTACTACACAGTGTAGGCACTTAGAGTTACTGCTGTGAACATTATTCTGGAAGATCAAATTCCCTTTTAAAAGCACCCCTATCTGGAAGCAAAGAAATCTATTCCTCTCGTGGGTGTGAGTGTCGGATTTCATTAGCGGTTGCATTAGCTACAGCTGAATCAAGCCCCTCTGATGTGTGCGCTCCGGAGTCAATGAGCATTATATTGCGCTCCCGTGTTCAGGCCATTCAAACAATGCCCTCTGTCCACAGTAACCACAAATAGAGGGAACAGGTTTCACAGCCAGCGTTTGTTCTCTGTGCTGTTTGTTAGGCAGGAAGACTGGGTTATTAATGCATCAGCCATGTGTTCGTGCAGCTGCAGTCCTGCTGGAAAACATTTATGCAAGCTTTCGACCTAAGGAACGGCATGCTGGTGTTTTCCGATGACTATGAGTTAAGAAGACAAACTCCATGCTGACGATTACCATCACAGTCTTGACACCTGAATAAAAACAACGTGACTGAAGATACATACAGCATACAACAACAATAGTGTTTCCTCTGTACAAAACTCCTTACTAGCTACTGCACTGATTCATTACTTCCTATTATATTAAATATATTACAACCCCAGTGGTTGTGGTTTGGGCTGATAAATTTTAATTTTATAGTAGTTCAAAACTGTCATTTCTCTCAGATCCACAAGACCTTTAATCTTCAAGTGAAGTTTGTCCCTTCACACTCTACAAAAAAACCTCCCACACAAACACGCCTCTATTCATTTCCAATTAATTTTTACGACTTACTGAGTGTGTCATCAGAGGCTCCAGACAAGAGCTGATAAAAGACGTGGAAGTTCCTCTCTCCTCGTGGCTGTTTCACCACACGTGACTTCTCTAGCAGATCTAAAAGAGTAAAGAACAACAAAATGGAAACAGTGACAAAAAGTAATTTCCCAATAATAGACTTCACAGGAAATGTTTCTGAGGTGATTCACTGAGGTGTCCTTGAGTAGTAAATAAGAGGATGACCAGCTATACTGAGTATTAAGGATGCCCAACATCTGCGTGGAGCTCAGTGGGCTCCCTGGTTCCAACTACTGCATGTATTTAAGTTGCCACGGTGACCCAGCCAATGTTAGTAATTATTTCTGCGTGTATGAAAACGCTACAGGAAGCGTACAAGAAAGAAACCACGCAAGGATATCAAACGTCAGCCCTTTCTTCTGGGCCACCGACCAAGTGCAACAGTACCTGATTAAAAGGGAATCATCATCTTCTCACCGCATTAGGCTGAAGATGATTTAATTAAAGAGCAACTGCAGAGCTCAGCATCTGAGGCTGCTTCAGATCCTCTTCACTGCCAGTCTGGCTGGATAATAGCATTCAATTTGTCTAGTTAGAAAACATCTTATTTTAGGAGAAATGCGTTACACTGAAGTGAACATTTTCAGACTTCACAAACTCTGACTCACCAGTCTGTGGGTGCTGAGAGGACAGAATTGCCACTTTGCACTGCATCAGTGCGAGCACCTAACTACAGAGCCCCACACGGAGACCTGGGGTTGTCAGAGTCAGCGGTGGATCAGGCTGCAAGTGAATATGTGGCACCCACTGGCCATGAATCACATTAAGTGACTCGATAAGAGCAAGCACATCAATAATACAACCATGACTGAGTGGCTGGCAGCGGCAATACAGAGTTATGATCAAAGAAGCAGAGAAGGTAGGAAAAATACCACTGAAGAGCCACTTCCTCTATTTCAGCATTTTAATATTTTGGGTCCCCATTTCTTTTTTATTTCTGTGTGAAGTCTCTTATTATTCTCATCCAAAGTGGACTAAAGTGACGTTTTCACATTGTTTCCAGCCAAAACATTTAGTCATTTGGTCTTTTTAGAGCCACAGCTTCCCATTTTCTGCAGTAAAGCATCCTGGACATTTATTGTATGCTCTGTCCACAACATGCTCCGTCTCTTTTAGATAAGCAAACGCACATTAAAGCAGTAATGTGGGAACAATATTCTGCTATATTTTGACTCAGGGCTTTAGCTGTTTAGCTGCCCAAAAAATAAAAAAATAAAAAAATCTTACTACTCTATCATTACCAAACCTACAGAAATTGGCTTTTCACAAATTATAGCTATCTAATCGGAGGTGTAGGAAGCATTGAGGGCTGGAAGGATGTGCAAGGGGAAAATAATGAGCTGGGAGTTGAACAGAAATCCATCCAGGCCTGCCCTGCAAGCACATCCTCATCCATCCGTCTAGCCAGCCCTGTCTGAAGCAGTCACATGTCAGTGGCGCTTCATAACAGGCAGTCCCTTGTGCTGGACTAACACAGGCCAACAGACAGAGGTTCATTTATGCCTTGGCCGTCAGCTCCTCTTTGTTTCTATGACCTTTGGTGGAGAAGTCAGCGCAGACAAAACAATGTGATCAGACCAAGACGAAACCAAAACAGAGGGGAGAGCTGAGGAGAGAAAGTCAGCGGGTGGAGGGGGGGGGGGTTTGTTCAGTCTAGGAATTGAATTGATTCCAATAAAGCATGAATCAATTTTCATAAAATGTGCAACTGAACGGCCTCTTAAACTGCTTTTGAAGATAGACAGACAGACACTTGTATTTTTAATTGGACTGTCTCCCAGCACCATAGTTAAACAAAGGGATCAGTGTTGAGGACTGATAAGGACATGACAAGAAGGCAAAAAAATCGGAGCGACATAATAAAGACATTTACAGATAGATCTAATTTTAAAAGGGGCATTTTCATCTCAAATACTACTCACAGTTGCTGATGACTCCACCCAGAGGATCTCCTTTGAAGTCAAACTCAATGTCCATGTACTTCCCCTGCAGATCAGAGCACAACAGTTAGAACACAACTTCTAGAACGTTAATATACACTGCGCACTGTGAACCGGGTCCAAAAAAACCATGCTCACTTGTTCAGCTCAGTACACAGTGAGGACCTCTGCACACACTCATTCAATTTATGATACAGCACCAACTGCTATGAAATAACTGGCCTCTGTGGAGGGAAAGCATCCCCCGCCACCCTGCTAAGTTCTTCCTACTGGAAGACTAAAACAAACCACTTCATGTACCCCCCTCTCTCCTTCTGTCTGAAACTTGGAAGTTAGAACATAGAGTCCTGTGTCTGAGTTTTTTTCCCCCCCTTTGATGTATTAATAGCAGACAGGTCCTCAGAAAAGGCCAAGCTCTGCTGGTGAGTGGGCACAAGCCAAACTCAATAAGCCTGCTGCACTCAGCAAAATGAAGCAACCGTTTGATTCATAAATCTCAGATAAACTGATGAAGCTCTGATGAACTGGTATCTAATGGGGAGGCCTTAGGTCCGTGTCTAGAGGTTTATATCAAGGTTACCTAAATATAAACAGATCAGAGGCATAATCCTTTATAATACTCTGTGTTACAACTGCAAGTCCAAGCGCTGGCGTGTGTTTGTATGTACCAATGTAGGTAGAGTGTGAAAAGAAAATCTAAAATTGGCTTAGGAAAGGTACATTGGCGGTTAGCCTGCTAGTTGCTACTGGCTGGTATAGCCAATTTCCATTAAAACAACCTAATATTCAGGCAAAAATCCCTTCAATCTTATTTCGCCACGACAGTGTGCTGCAATTAGGCTTTTGGATGTACTGGAAGTTTTTCAGTTAAACTGAGGCACTTTTTGAAGAATTTGCAGCTAAATAAAATGTTAAAAAAATGAACATGAACAGAAGTGGGTCGAATAGGGTTGATCTGATGTAATGTCATGTCATAAGGGAGGAAACTGAAGCAGGCTGCTACTGCTGGATCAGGCCTCGCTGAAAATGCAGAGCCAGAAATAAAAAGCAAAACACACCGGGTCTCCTTTGCTACTGCCTGGAATGTTTTTTATGGATTTGTGTCTATACAGAGAGCGATGCAGACACTGAATCATTCTCATGATGCTATCTCTCTCGGCTTCCATAGAGATTAGCTTCAGATTTCTACATTCTCAAAACATAGTAGGTTGCAGAAGTAATCAGATGATCAAACTGTCTGGAGCTCAACTAATAAACAAGTGTTATTTTTTTTACAACTGAGAAATGAGTAGAAAATAAAAAAATAAATAAAATCAGTGCAATTACACAAGAGTTTGCTTTCTCTTTGGGCAGACAAAACAACCTTATGTTAGAGAGCATTTACAAAGGCCATTTAACATTTGTGAGCACAATACAAAAGTGTGCAAAGCCCGCTGTAATGTATGGGTATAAGGTACAGATCCAATGTGTCTTCATATTTTATGGCAAAGCTATCAGGAAACACACATGCTGCAAAGGCTCTCAACAAAGGATGTTATTCCCTGTATTTAGTCCTTTATGCTTGACGTCACAATGTTGCTGTGAAACACTTACCAACACGCATCACTTACCAAGGACATGCGTCTACAGGAACCCTCAGCCTTGACATGATGTGAGCTTTAAACCAGTTCATTTACAAACACCTGCAGGCCTTTGCTTAAGCCATCAAGCAGTTACAAAGGCTGTTATGACTTCAATGCAACAGCAGAATGTGGGTCTAGACAGAGTCAATGTCATTAGAACTGAGGAAAATAAGCCACCATAACATTTGAAGATCCTACTTTCATTTCACTGTGTAAAGAAATTAAAAGAAATATAGAGGGGGAAACTCAACTGGGGAATTAATAAAAAACTGTGGGGCTTATTTTGAAGTTAAGAGAAAAATGTAGACAAAAGCGCCAGATTATGCACTAGTGTGAATGAAGTCTGAATGAAAACATCCAAGCTGTGCATAACATTTAGCGAGTAGCAAGGCTTCATTAGAGAAGCAATCATCAAATTTAACAACACATCACAGTTGTTCATCAGTTAGGAAGAGGATACTTACAAATCTGGAAGAGTTGTCATTTCTCACTGTTTTGGCATTTCCAAAGGCTGAAAAAGAGGAATATCATAAAAGGGACATGATGAAAACATTGCAACCAATGCATAATTTATGCTAATCCATCTAGTATAAAGCCATAGCCAATGCATTAAAACTAATCAAAGCTTGTTTATAAATATTCCAAACATTCATGGATTCTTAACATTGTGCCTCGCTCCAGCTAGCTGTCAATCACATAAGGGCTGGATGTCAAAGCCATTTGTACTGATGAAGCTGCATAATTCTGTATGGATTAAGCAAAGCACCGGGGCTTTCTAGGCTTAGGAGGGGCTGAACCTTGCTGCCCCACCACAAGTCAAAGTGCTTCAATATTTGCCACTGCTTATAAACAAACAGGATATCCAAATACGGTGTTGTCAAGTATGGATGCTTGTGTGTGGGCACTTTAAAAGCATCTCAGGCATGTGTGCGAATGTAGGCCTCGTGTTAGGCTTTTGGAGTATTTTCCTCATCCAGAGCCCTAATTTGCTTCTAACCACATTTCTATATTAAAATGCTATTAATGTGTCATGCATCGCAGCGCTATTATCGCAAGTGCTTAATTGCTGATAACAGCTGATTAAGGTGTTTAAGACTACTGTTAAGAAAGGAAGAGGAATCAGAGCGTGAAATGAAAAGAAATATTGGGTGACGGGGAATGAAACCAATAAAAGATTCAGAGAGAAAACGAAACAGAGTGTCACAGAGAGCGAACACGACACAGACACATAGTGAGTAGCATGGTAACTGTGCCCCCTTTTTAGCGTTAGGGCAATTAGATCGGCAGGAGCTAAACTCTTGCAGATGTGAGGGTTTCTGCAGCAACTGAACACGGGCAGATAGCTTCATCATTTGTGGGCATTTCCTGTCCATTGCCCCCAATTAAAATACAGCTGTTCCTTTGCCAGCACTGAGCTGTAGGCATAAGACAGTATATGTGTGCGCGCGTGCACGTGCATTGAACTGGGGAAAAGTAGAAGAAATAAGAAGCATGTATTACATAGTATTTATAGGACTACTAAAGCTCTTTTGCTGATCAGTTTGTCTGTGCCACACAAATTCCATGCTTATGCTTATGTGTGCCTACATGCTTTTTCTGGTCATTAGATAATTCCAAAAACCACGCAACAATATTAAAGCTCATCATAAAACTCCATTAAAAAGGTTGCTTTTTGCAGCTGCATTTTGAAGAGGCTTTGAAATTGGACAGCGCTGCCAACCTGTTAAAGACTCAGGCGCTAAATGCTAAATGTGAACTTCAGACGATCAGCCCACAAACTGGGATGCAGCTCGAGTGTGAATGCCGCTAACTCACCCTCAAGCACGGGATTGGACTGCAGCAGCTGTTCCTTGACCTTATTCACCTCCTGGCCCTTCCCACACACTGCTGCCACATATGACATCACCAGCTTACTGGCCTCTGAAACACACACACAAAATAATATTAAGTCAAAGCATTTGCTAGACAAAACTGAGAACAAGTGCGACCTGCACACCCATCCCACTGGTCCTCATAAAATTCCCCTTACCTCATCCCCCCAGACACCCATCAGGGCAGGGTGGGGATTCACTAGGCTGGGGTACAGACCAGAGGCCTCATAATGAAGACCCACTTTGTTTAGTTAGATGGTGACCAGAGTTGCATCATGTTATCATCATTCAAATGTTTTACAGGGAACCAAAAGAATGCAGACAAAACATGACTTTATTCGGATCGACAGAGATGATCCCTGTTCATCCACTTCTCGTGTTGGACCTGAATTTGATCTGACAGACTCAGACAGTGTGTGTGTTGTGGGAGTGAAAATACATTTTCTGCCTGAGAAACATGACACGGGCTCAAAAGGCATCTTGCTGCTGTCTGAAACAAGTGCCATGCCTTATAGGATGGATGCTGGCATCAGGATAATCTCTCCTGTCCAGTGAGATGACAGTGACCCAGAAGTGATTGTGTGTGTGATGTGCCAAAGAGGGATAGAAAAGAGCCTGGTACAGACTGCTGATGAGCCCGGCATATAATAAAAACAGCTCCAGATGTGATAACACATTTTGCCAAAGTAGGTAAAGAGGAAGGTGTGCAACAGAAAAATAAAGGGATCAAGAGATACTGCTTTGCTGAGTAACATGGTATGCAATCATCACATTTTAATCTCTCAGGGTAGCAAAATATACTTCCTTAGTCATTTCTCACAGACAATGGAACTATGTTATGTCTCCCCTATGCCATGCTGGCATCTGATAATAATGTTCGTCACAGCTCCTCGCTCCTATAGAAGCCACAGCGAGACAGAGCACAAGAAAACCCCCAGCCAGACATGAATGTCAATGACCCATATCGATGGGGTAGGCACATTTTTGATGGCCTTATTCCCCTACAAAGCTTTGGAGCCAATGAGATTAGCAAAATCCAAATTTATCTTCTCGTCTTGGCTGAATAGCTTCTTGGAGTGAGGTTTTTAATATCCATGAGAGGCCCCAAATAAAGCCTAGTGCTGTGCTTTTCATTGCTTTGTCCTGGGTCCATTTGTCATATTACTGCATTTCACTATTGAAATTACACTGATTATTCTGGATAACTGGCAAATCTTGCACAGTATTGACAGTGGCTTTTGTTGAAAAGGATGTATGGCTTCATAGCTCTTGATGTTTGCTGTCAAAGAGCTACAGTGAAAGTTATGTTGTAGAATTCAGAGATCAATGTACCAGTAGTTCAAAACCATAAAAAGGATGAAAACAGTCAGTCATGTATCAATACAGGCAATGGATTAGGCATCAGTCCAGTAGTACACAAACAAATGTGTTACAATTCATGAGACAAAAGGTAGGACTTGGAGATGGATTAAAAAGATAAGGATGGGAGAGCCATTCATACCAATGTAACACTTTTCACACACTCTCATGCCACACATCAATTAGCTGATGCAACACCGGTGTACATTGTGATAATCAAGTAAACTCCTCACTTTAGCGCTGTGAGTCGCAGCCAGTTTGTGACCAAGTGGTAACGTAGCCGGTAGAGTTTAGCAATATAAACATCTATAAACTGAAGCGCGCCGCCCCAAAATTATAATATAATACTGAAATGCCCTAAGTCAATAATATAGACTGGAATCAATTAGTCAAGCACCCTAAGTCAATAATATAGAAGGGTCAATAATATAGAAGGGTGAAGGGTCAACATTTACAGTTCTAAGGAAAGAATGTATGTAACTTTACTGTACAGGAAGATCATTTACGAGTAGATTGTGACTGCTTTCCCACAGTATGTGCTCTGTCAACTCAATATGGTTTTTACCTGCAGCATAGCACTGCCTAACAGAGCAGGAAATTCCATTCCTATTGGAAACTGCTCCAAAAGATGGCTATGCTATTATAAAAACAGGAATATATAGGACCAGGGATGTGAACACAGCTGCCTCTAGCATCAGCAGGCTCCGTTTAGTATTTCTAGTCCAGGACGCAGTCCGACACGAGCTTTCAAGTTTGTTTAACTGGGAGGTGTGGACATTGACGGAGTTACTCTTACATTTGAAGTACCAACATGTCGTTCTGGAAAAACCTGGCATCAAGTTGCCTTAAAAAAAAAAAAAAAAAGAAGGTAGATCTGATCTAAATCTGCACTGTGGCTTTATAGATAACAACCCTCATCTTACAGCGGCCTTTAGAAATATGTTTTGACTACACTTTCAACAGAGTTTTGTCCAGCCCTCCAAACAAGAAAAGCTAAACAGACATGAACGCCTGATGGCACATTTGTAACCCTCCACGGATGTGTTGGCTGACTGCAGGGTGCCTTGTTTACTCTGCTCATTTAAGTGTTTTTTTCCCCTCCTTGGCTTCTGATAAATGAAGAACTTTTCATGTTCATGCTGGGAACAGATGCATTGCTGATATTAGTAGCCTTAAGCTATGCGTTTCTGCCAGGCTGATCCCAGATATGAATGTGTGAGATATATATATATATAGCGGGGTGATGCTAGACTGGAGTGTACGCTGCCTGAGTCTAAATTTCCCATGGAATGAGCAGACGTTAAATTGAAAAGGAGTTAGCATTTGGCTACCTACCGGTTTTCCCAGCCCCACTCTCGCCTGTGATGAGGATGCACTGGTCCTTGTCCTGGTCCCTCAGTGAACGGTAAGCCTCATCTGCCAAAGCGTAGCTGGAAAACAAAAAGCACAAAGTCATCAGCTTTCACATTAGAGTTATACACCTTTAGTTTACACAATATTCAATTTATTTCTAAGTATTTTCCAGGGTATTTTGGGGGGTGATACAAAGATAGTAGGGTTAAAAAACAATTTAGAGTTCAGAGAAATGGTATGCTACTGTGCCATGCTGTATGGCATCCACTACAAATCAATATCATGTGGCTTTATTGGAAATTGGGTCGCATCTGTAGGACAGGCACATTAAACTTTATTTAGCTACACTGGCTGGTTCACATTTGGGATTTGGCTTGGATAGTTAGAATACTGACCGTTTCCTACTCCTTTTCCTAAACCACTGCACTAACATTACACTCAAACAAACAGTTACATGCTTACAAGGCCTTTTTCCCGCCCCTCATTTTTAAACTGATTGTTTTGACTGCCACATAATAAATTCTGTTGCTATAAAAATACACAATTAGAGATGAATCAGCTTTAATCAAACCCTGGCAGGTGTCTGAATAACGCAATCAGTCACTGAGAATTTAAAACAACATGGTGGATTACTGAATGATAAAAGGAGTGCCTATTATAAAACGAGGCCTATTGTCATACATTCCAGGACAGTAATACAATGGGCAAAGTGGGACTGATTTTTGCAGTTTCATCCCCTTTGAATTCCAGAACAATATATTATTTGTTCTCTTTATGCGCCAAGCCTTTATGATTGTTTGAGAGAAGGGTGTGGATGGTGTGATGGCCATATCACAATGACAACATTTGACATCTTGTGTCGCACAGTGGTATGTAATTCAATATGATCCTCCCCAATAAGGAACACTGATGGGTGAGACTGCAGCAACATTTTATTTTCATTTTTTTTTTTTTACAGCTTAACATTTGGCAAGCAAACAGTCACTTACAGTGCTGCAAGAACCATGTTCAAACTTTCTCCTCCAGCGGGGCACGGGACTCTACATTAGCTTTCCTTACTCCTTCTGTCTCCCGTCCCCTTCGTACTTTGGCATTCATTATTCAGGAATTTTTTCCAAAGCCACATCTGGTAATAGCTGTGATTGTGCCTTATGACAACCTCAAAATGTCTTTGCTGTTGAGAAAGTGGGCGGATTAGGCGGAAGACTATCATTTAAGACCTCCATGATGAGCTCTGCTAGGTTTAAGTAGAGTCCCTTTGAGTCCGTCTGTACTGGTGGACCAAACTCTACCACCTCTACAGGTGGATATAGTTTTCATGTAACTTAAAGCTGCTAGCTTCAAAACCATCACAGGCTTAATCTCCCAGCTTTTAAAATATATAGCTAAGATCAACATCTTTAAAGTATTATATTTCACATTACAGGGTATATTTAGCTTGAGGTAATTTTGGAGGAATGCATCAAAATAGTCTCTCCCCAGTGTCTAATTAGGTCCTTTCCTAGAGGGTGGGGGCACTCCAGGTCTCCCAGGTCTGCGTAATAATATTAATCAAGTACTTATATGCACTAAGAGTCCTAGACATGAATGCAAAAAGGAATGTGACATTCACAGATGCTGAAAGGGCTTTTCAAAACAGCAGTCCCACTGGGCTCTGTATCTGGGTCTGAAATTGGGATATCGAACTCCGAACATGGTTGCTGTGGTTACATTTGCTGTCAGATTCAAGCACACTGCACATCAAAATGTAGCGTGGCACCAACCAGCAGGGTGAAAAAACCGGTTAGACAGGGCTCCAAGTGATTTCGAAAGGGAGCTGTTCAGACAGCATGCGAGTCTGTGCGCTGAACGGCTATGTGGCATCATTCATGCAATTTGTTTATTATCCACTCTAACTTTCACAAATACACTAAGACATGGAAAAAGAAGCTAATGTCTAAATCTAATTTGGGATACAGCAATGAATGTATTAGTGGAGTCAGTGCGGTGTGGAGCACAATTTGGAGCATATAATCACACCCTGAACTAACACTGACCTCCAATTTGAAAAGTAGCTGATTGCTAGTAAGAAGCCATGACGGAGAGGGGGCCTGAGATGGACAGCCAGATGAATGCATTCCAGGCCACAATACAAAGTTAAAGCTCAGGCTGGCTAAGAGCTTAAGGTTCTGCACCATCACACATCGTTTTGGACCAGAGCCTATGTAGCCCCGCAACCAGCCCTCTCCCTTGTCCGCCCACATTGTGGGCCCATCACCAGCAAAAAATAAATTAAATCAGGAAAAGTAAAAGTTCCTTTGAGTCAAGCTGGTGTAGTTAGCTAATACTGAAATTATAATTGTTTTTTGTTTGTTTGTTTGTTTTAAAAAAAAAGGTACCCTGTGGGGGTTTTGAACACTAGAGGTGCACTGTTTTTATGGGCAGGTCCCTGGTTTTTTGTCTTTATTATCTTGAGCTCTACTAGGATGACATAAGGATACAACTGGACTGTAAGAACTGGACGAAGATGGTTCCCATTTATTCCATTTCTCTCTCTCTCTCCCCCTCGCTGAGCCGATGGACTTTTACACTGCAATAATGTCAAGCATAAAACCTTCATGGTTAAATTCATAGGAGGAACAGTAATGATTGTAAAACTGTTGACAAGTTCAGATGTTTTATAACGGAAGCCTATAAAAGGAAATGCTTTTTGGGACTAAGGGAATGTTGTTAATTGCATTATGGTTCTCTCCTCATTTATTTAGTAGGGCTGCACCGAATGTTTGGCCACTGAAATGAATCGGCCAAAAATAGCAAAAAAAGCACTTTCGGTGTTCGGCCTACTACGTCAAAAGACCGAAGAAATTTTACTGAACAATTACGTTGACATTTCGGCAGTGTGGAAGCATTTTAAAGTGTCTGAGAAAGACGCAAAAATCGCAGTTTGCAGACACTGTTCTGCGGAATTGTCTCCGAACACATCCACTCCATCTGTGGCTGACTGAAAAGGCAAAAAACGGTCTGACCCACATTGAGTGTTTCTGTCACTCGTTTATGAGAAGGCAATTAAGCTAGCTGCACCTAAAGCTGAAGTGCACACGTATTCAAGCCTTTATGTTAAATCCACTGAAACAGACCAGTACGAGCTGACAGGTAGGTTAGCAACTTTATCCTCTCATTTTCTCTCTTTACAAAGACAGGTGTTGCAGTATGAGAATCCACCTGAAGGGAGGCTGTGAAGTCTTCATGTTGCACGATATGAGAACCACATACAACATTTATCAAATTGGGTCGGACTTGATGAAATTAGTGAAAGGATATACATGTGACAACGTCCGGTTTTCAAAATAAGGTGTCTACACAGGATGGAAATAAGATTAATTGGATTATATTCACAAAAAGTATAAAACATAGTACATGTGTCCATTAAAAGTAAAATGGACACATGTAATTTACTTTAGTGGATCCTCTCGGGCCTCGGCCCACCCCCCATATTCTCTGCAAATCTTGTAGAAAACACTGAGTAAAAAGCACATTTTGACCATTTCATTTATGCAATGGTAAAAAAACAAACAAAAAAACCTGACAAAATAAATAAATAAATAAATGTGAATGTACTTGTTCGGCATTTGGCAAGTTTTTTCATTATATTTGGTTTCGGCTTCGGCCAAGATTTTTCATTTCAGTGCATCCCTATTATTTAGATATCACCAAGATAGCTGCCGAGTGGTGGGACTTGCCTCTCTCTAAAGAGATCTGTGGTGTATCCAGATGAGCACACAAGTGGAGCTAAATATATCCCAGAAGACTGAAGAGGGCAGTAATGCATATTTGTATTGCATGCAAATCATACAATGTCGTTTGGTTTCCCACTATTCCACTGATTGACATTAGCCAAGAAACTAAGTGATGCCCCAGCAAAATGCAAGGATGAAGACAGCTAACCAACATGGTTTCAAAAGTATAGAAAAAATAATCAATCTGCTTTGTTAATGTTTATAAGGAAACAACTGCATTCAACATGCTTATTGTGCCTCAAGGATACATATCATTTGTTCTGTTGAGAAACACTGAATGTACTATTATGAGAAAAATATATTTTTACAGGGGATCTTTAAAAAGATTTGAAGCATCTGAGGGCACCAAAAATGTAACATTTCTGTCCATCAAAGCACAAGCCTCTCACTCAGAGATCCCCACCCCCACAATCTCTGATCACTGCTTAACCCCTACAGTCTCCTGTACACCATGTTTGTATGGTTTAGGACTTGCAACAGGACATTACGTCACTGTTGAAAAGGGCAGCACAGCACAGCAGATGTCTGCTTTGTGAAAACACCACTGTTGCCTGACGTGATCCTGACAATGAGCAAACCATCACACAATTATCTCGCCCCCAGAGGAGGCCAGTGGGGGGGGGGGGTTGTCAGGGGAAGGTGAGGGGTGTAAAATAGTGGGAGGTATTTTGCCAGACACGCACACACACACACACACACACACACACACACACACACACACCCCTAATATGAATAGGCTTCACATAATCACAATATCAATAGAGGTCAGCAGAAGCGAGGGGCCACACCCAATGTGCGTGAGCAGATGATACACTGTACTCAATCTACAACGGACGTCTCACAAGAACCTAATGTGTATTTTTATTCCCAGTTACAAAAGCAAGAAAAAAATTAAATAAATAAAAAAGCAGAATCAGATATAATGTACATCCCTTTGGCTCTAACATTGTGCTATCATTAAGACCATGAAAGCGGTATGAACAGCAATTGAATATACCACTTCACAAACGTGGAAGTCGAAATGATGATGAAGCACCATCAAAGGTCACCATCAAAGGCAGAGGAAGCAGGGAGTGAGGCACCAAAATCCTAAAGGCCTCCCTGATCAGTGTGTGTGGAGCTGGGTGTGTGTGGGGGTTAGGGCTGGGATAAGGCCTTGGACCGTAAGTGCTGCTTGGCACCTCCCCTTCACATCTGCCTGCAGGCTGTAATTTGGACTTGCACGTGGCAGCGGTGGACACAAAGCCACACTGGCATGAGGTAAGCAGTAGAAAATAGTCTAGTCAGTTCTTTTTACTACC